AATTTGCATATTCTTCCCCAGGCCTCCACTCCAGTGGTGCCCAACGCGTGGTTCTATCTTCTTGTCATGTGGAATCGTAATGACGGTCTCTCGATGTACATGGACAACCAACTAAAAGCATCGACAAGAGACGGACGACCAAATCCTGTAGAAAGACTGCCAACAACCGAGCAAACGAACTTAAATGTTGGTAGAAACATCAATGGACAAAGCGCTCCACATAATGCGCATTTCTTGATGTCTTCGTTAGTTATGTTCAATAGGAACATCCCAACTCAGTCTGTCCCATCAATCACGAAATATTTCTCCAAACCAAGTGAGTATGAAGGGTTACGTTTAGAATATTCACACGACTTTCCATACCAAGGTTCAGTGATCACGAATAAGGTTTCAATGTACAAGCTTTTCTTTCCTGTTCAACGTACCTTTGCGCCTTGGTTCAATGCTTTGCCCGTGGTTACCGAGGTCTATTATGGAATATCGTAAATAAAAGAAAGCTCACATTCATTACTACGCTGAAGTGGAAAGACTGGCATGTATTTTATACAACTTTCTACCCCGGGGGGGGGGACTCCCTAATATCAAAGGGCGGGGGTCCTCGGCGTCCCTTTTAGGGTTTGAAATCAGTATTTTGGTCCCGCTTAGGGTGATCATGACAAGAATTYCTACCAACTATGTTTTGTGGTCCCTTTTAGGGTATACGGCGACCCTAAGCAGTTATAAAATGGCAACGTCGTCATAAACTCAATACGAGCCGACGGTGTTCGATGATTGTGTAAAACACAAATAAAATCGGTAAACCAAAACAAAATGACCTGTTATTGATTGGTCCCTTTTAGGGTTGAAATTTCAGCACTGCCACGCCCATCATCTCACAATAGAGGTCCCTTTTAGGGGTCATTTTCACAATCTCCGCCGAGGACCCCCGCCCTTTGATATTAGGGAGTCCCCCCCCGGGCTTTCTACTCTTGAGAGCAAAATTTATTCTTAGGAATAGGATATTTTATCCATTCCAAATTCTAATCCAAACTAAAAGTACATAAAAGGATACAAAAATTATAAACTTTTCACACTGTTGGTCCTTCGTCGAAGTGTTAGCACCAGTAATAGGAAAATAGGAGTTCTGAAACCTGAGTAGCTCCAGAAAATGGTGCATTTTGTGAAGTTACGAGCTCAAAATGATCTTCTCCAGAATCATTATTGGGGAAAGAATTGTTGGAAAGTGTGAAGTCAACAAGATTTAATGACTTGACTGATGAACTACTGTTTTAACGTGTAAACAAGCTGTCAAACTATTTCAATTTTTGTCCTTTCAGTTGCCGTCCATCCGCTTACTAAGTATTACATCATGCTTAAGATAACCAATCCAACTCAAAATGACATAATCCTACAACCAAGCGATAAATACCCAGCCGGAGGTTTCACCATCAGTAAAAAAGCCATTGCCAAGGTAAAGAAAGAGGTTTCAAGTCCATCTGAGGTTTCCTTTATTGCGCAAATCAAAGGCCAAGCAAACAAGTACATCTTGTTGAATGGCAAGCCAAGAATTAAAGTTTCCCCTTCAGAAAGTCCTTTGGAAGTATTTGATGTTAACTTTTCTCCAAAAGGTAAGATAAGATGATGATCTTCTGACACTGGTGAAAAACGCACTGCGCATGTCCACAGCTTTCCCGCCAATGACCGCGCGCGTCTTGAAATCTGCCTAATGTATTTGTAAACAGAGCGCCTGGCGATTTTTGTGAAAGTTTTTTACAATTTATAAGCTCGTTCACACATATATATAAGATTCATATTTCCATCAATCATTGTTCATGAAAGGTCCTTTTAGTATGTAGTTTCTATTTTTATCTT